ATTTCACTCTTTCATTAATATTACGGCTTTATTTTCTTAATGAAGATCAATTCTTATTATGTCGTGCTATTTAAGGTAAAGAGGCTAAGTATATGACAGTAAAAATAAACGTAATAGGCATATGTTTATTTTTGTCTATATTTCTTCCTTTCTCTTTTAAGGAAGACTTGAAAACTATAAGTTACAAGTTTCAGAGAGATTGTAAGAATAAACTTCGATCTCAAGGATTAAGATTTTAAATGTTTTTTACATCAAACTTAAGAAGTTTATACAAATGCATTGTACAGATGGGAATACACTGTGTTTTGCAACTTCAACACGATAGCAAAATCAAGTTCAAGATTCTTATTAGTCATCAGCCTCTCAACAGACTGTTTAACTAAAATTTGCCACATTGACAAGCGTACTATAATGTTGTCTCTTATCATTACTTTGTATTTTTATCATTTTTTTGTATTTTGTATTTTCAAGCTAGAATAAATAAAATAATGAATTCAGAGCTTAAATTGCGTCGGAGGCCACCGGAGCCCGGCACCGTTATTTCTCAGTTTTTGAGATAAATTTTAATTTTAGACGAAACGCACCAGAGTCCTAAATAAAAAGGCTACAGCACTTCTTTTACGTAAGCGAACCAAAAATTTCAACAGACTTTTATTTTAATAATAAATATGCCTTAAAAATCGATTTTAACTTTTGAATGCACGCCTGTCTTTCTCTCGGACACAAACCCTGGACAGAGGTTGAAACATTTAAGGAAAGAAAAATCTCCACCCACATTTTCAAGGCCTTATTCTCGTAATTTTTCCTTCCTAAAGTACTAAACATAGTACCTCGGTCGTGTATGAGCACCGTATAACCAGGGTTTAAATTCTTAGCTTCTGAGTGGAAATGTAATTCCAGCCCGAGCCCAAAATAAGACAAGGCCCAATAATTTATTTTTTATTTAACTATTTACAGTTAATTTAATAATTACTTTTTTATTTATCTCTTTACATTTCTTTTAATTTTAATTACTAGTTATTTTATTTATTTAAGTTTTCTTTCCTTCTTTATAGTCTTACATAGAGCTCCGGCACTTTTAATAATTAAGCCTCAGGGCTTAATTATTAGAAGTGACGGAGCTCTATGTAAAACTTAGATATGAATTCACTCTTGCTGTAGCAATATCAAAAAGATCTTCAAAAACGATTTCCTTCTTTTTATGAGAAATATTTTATGTTAATTCAGTTTGGTTTATAATATATCTTCTTCTCTTTTGGTGTATATGTCCATCCGTCTATGAATGCCTGCATCCACAAAATGAAAAACGTGATTTCGAAAAACTACAAAAGTGTGTAATCTGAGATGTACAGAGTGTATGCCCATGAAAATTAATTTCGCATTATTCATAGAAATATCACCAGTTCTATTATTAAAATATATCACTATGTATGCGATATTACTTGAGATTTCATCATAGATTTTAAAAAAATTAAATTACTACCTTAAAAGTTTTGTTTGCAGTTAATCTAACCCCTACAAGAAATTACCGTTAAAATTTTACGAGATTAAAAAATCTAAATTTAAAAAAACATAATCATAAAATTTTTAAAAAGTTCTAATTCTAATAATTTCTAATTTTTATGATTATTATTATACTAATTCCTATGATTCCATTTCCAATGATTTTATATATGATTCCAGTTTAATACCTGAAGTAACTTTAAACAACAATTACGATAAGCCTACAAGTTTAAAAATTAATCCTCCGGTAATTTAAGATATGCAACTTGAAAAGTAGTGTATTGAAACCGAATTGTCAACATAACAATGCCAAAGGGTAAGAAAAGAATTGCTAACATATTATTACAATATTGCAAATTATTATCTTATTGCAAATATTTTAACCCCGTAATAGCGGAAACATAGTCCCTGTCTGTATGCTTCATGTCGTCGAGGGGAAAATGTACTCAAAGAACGTGACTGACAAGGGCAAACAAAGTGGACCCAACTTTTACAAGAAATGTAAACGCAAGCTAGGATTACTACCAGAATTTTGATTCATTATCGCGGAACACAGGTCAATTTTCAGGAGAACTTTCTCATTTATCCGAAGCCGGTTTTACAGGTGCCAGCTATTAAACCTCATTCCGTATGAAATCTCATTATTCCCATTTTCGCAGCAGATTATTAAGCAATTGTGACTTGAGTCTAATCGGAAAAGAATTTAATGCATTTACCTTACTCAAAAATGTGCTAAGATATCGATAAGCACATACTATTGCCTTGATTTCTTTTATAACAAACACAGTTATATTCGTGAATCATCACATTTGTACATTAATATGCCAAAGAAATCTCATTCAGGGTATAAGCAAATATTTTTTATTTCGTAAGTAAACATCTCAGCTACATGTAGACGAGAACATTCTTTGTTCCTGACAGGATTCAACACATTTTCGAGGGGATATGATTTGCTCCAGAATCTTGATTGACAAGGGCGAACAACCTGGACTCGACTTTTACCACAAATGTAAACGCCAGCCACGAGACTTATCACTGTTGCATTATTTTCAAGAGATAAAAAAGCTTTAAGATAAGATGTTTGCTAACATAGTCCCAATCTTGCAGTGTAATAGTAAAAAGTAAATATAAAAATATTCTTTTAGGTCATTAGACGTCAATCTAAGAAGTCAGGTGTCCGATAACTAAAACCGCGAAGGTATAGAGACAACAATCACAAGTATGAAAATCTTGCCATTTCGGAAGGCGTCGTACTAAGAAAAATCAGGTGAGTGATAAGATTTAATTATATAAAGGTCTGGAATTGGGGTATACAATACCTGGGTAGATAAAGAAGAAGGCGAAGAACGATCATTGCGCCGTCTTCGGCAATTGCAATTGTGATAAAAAACAATATCAACGGATAGCGAAGTGATAATTTTTGTCCTACAAAGGAATTTTAATGAATGTCAGATATAAAAAGCATTTTATAGTTATCGGTGAAAGTTAAGTGAAAGCCTTTTTTCTTAAAAAATATGTAATACGAGGTATTTCCATATTCTTTGCGGTTTCGATCCTTGTTTGCGGTTTATTATTGTTTACTGCTTATCATTTCGAAGCGTGACAATGCTTATTAAATCATATTTTACGAATTGAATATTCTAAACAATAGGAATGAAGTAGGATCCCATTAACAATCGGAGAAGAAATCAATTATAAATCCCATACATTCAGAGTTTAGATAAGCACGCATTCCATTTTAGCCTTGTCTGAATATCAATAGAACAGTAAAATTTATACCTACAGCTACGATATGAAAAATACCTTTTGATTGTAACTTTTGATTTTTGACTTTTAAGAAAGCCTTCTTTAATTATTACCCACTGAAAGAGGTTCTGACTTTTTTTACATGAGTGACATAACATAATTACGGATTTCAACAAAGCGTATTGCCAGACGATTTTGAAATTTTTATTCATTTTTCACAGTATAACATTATATATATTTTCAATGTAACTAAACGCAGAATTTTTCTCAATGGCGCGCACTAGCCTAAGCGTTGGTCACTACTAAGGCCGGAAGCGGTGGTCACTTTATTACGCAGGTACCTTATAGGTGGACCATCGTTGTCTCCAATAAAGGGAATCCATCCCTTCTCCGGGATTCGAACCCGCGCCCTTCGATACAGCAGTTAACCATTTTTTCATCTGGGCGACACGCAGTATTTAAAAGTATCAAAGTTTGATAATACTTTGAGCTTTTGTGTAGTTGAAGATTTGATGTTGATGTTAAAAAGTAGCTAGTGAAGCATTTTTACCATTCAATATTTTCTTTTTCCTAATTTCATACCAGCAAGTCATGGACAGTTCCATGACGCACAGTTTTCTCTTTTCTAATATCCATCGCAATATATTGTATTATATCTCTCAATCATTCTGGGTTTTTTTATCTCTCTCAATAAAAGAAAATTTCTGCATCATTTTAACAGAAAGGAGTTATTTCAACAGCTGAGAAGTCGATGGAAATATGTTTTAGTTGAATTTTATTGCTTTTAAATTAATTTAAATTTTAATATACTCTCAGATAGGTAGAATTTCAGCATATTTTGAAACAGGTAGAGTTACGCAGAGAAGAACAGGTAGAGTTCCTTTCAAGATTTTTATGGCTCAAATCTTTACAATTAAGAACACTTCAACACATTTTCCCTCCTAATTGCCTAATTTTAAAACAAATAATACTACAATGTATCCTTTTTAATTAATTATTTTAAAAATAAAATTTATTTCCGTATTTGTAAAACTCTTTATTTCAACACATTTTTGGTGCTGGTGTGCAACTACATGGTCTGGATTTAATATTAGACTTTACAGATTCAAATTTAAAGTGTTTTTTAAAGGTTAATTGCACTGAATCGAATACAGAGTTTTATATGTAAATGATATCGCACCGTTGAAAGCGTTTTAGTAATAATAGGGATAAAAAGACTTGTAGTAAATAAGATGGCTATACGAACATAAACTTGGTATCTGGAAGGTATTTTACGAAAGAATTAATTAAATGGTTTAAATAGCATACCTTTAGATGAGAATAAATAAATTTGCTTCCATTTAACGTAAAACGCAAGTTAAAAGATTGTTTAGTATGTTTTTTAATATTTCTCAATGTAAATGAAATCTGTATGTTTTTAGAACTGTCCTTGAAAAAATGACAAAACATATATTTCAGCCAGTATGGTAAATTAATTATTGGGATTCTAATTCAATCGTAATACATTATACAGAGAAGCTAATGATTGAGTAACTGCTAGATATTTTGAAAGTTTTAGGACTGATGAATAAAATATTCAAAACATAAAAAGTTTTTTCATGATTATCAGTTTACGGACTTTGCGAGAATGAATTAATATACATTCAAGACAATTATTAAATTTCGAGCAATGGTTGAAGAAACTGAGAGTCTTCTGATGGAAAAATGATCTCGTGATGAACCATTTTAAGCAAAATGAAAGTAAAACTTACCTGAAGTTGGAGAACCACTTGACGAGCTGGGCGGTGTTGTTCTTGTTGAATTTGATGTCCGGAAAGTACATTTTGAGGACGGCGGAACTAGGATACCGGGCGTAGAAGAACATTAGCTTCGCTTTCCGTAGGTGCATTGGCGTCAAGGTGCTGGTGTGCATCGATGCTGTTAAGGAGCCAAACAAAAAACAAGCCAAAATGTAGCGCCCCGGCCAATAACTGGTACCGGGCACGATGACCAATACATAATCACATTCATACACTTTGTTTAACACTATACATATACATCACACAGAAAGAAAAATTAGATTTATGGCATCATAAGGTAAGACTACAAAACTATTAATACTACAAGGTAATTATTTCAGTGCTAAATCCATAGATTTTGTTAAAATTGTGCTTAAATTAATTTGAGATGCAGCCTAAATACAAAACTCGAAAAGCAAACAAAAGAATACCCGAACTGGAAAAGCAAATTAAAAACAATATCTCACTTTTTTACGAACTGAATAAAAGCAATAATATTGGAAATTATAATAAAAGAAAAGTAACACTAGATAATTACTTCTTATCAAAATTTTAGACTAAAATATTATTAAAATAATAGTAATAAAAATAAAACTAATAGTTTTTGAACAAATTAAACAAATTAAGCAATTTTACTAGAGCAACGCATTAATATTAAATAAGTATATATAAATAAATAATTATAGAAATAATGTCGTAATACAAATATATTTTCTCCCTCTCTTTCCTAACGCAGAAAATGAAAACTGAGACTTATGAAGTCAAATGATGGTGCACTTATTAAAAACAATATCCAATTCTTAAAAAGTTAACTATAATAATTATGGATCTGGAACTTTAAAATTTTTCTATTTGCATATAACATAATAAATACATATTTTTACTCCAAATAACTTAAAATATCCCAAACCTTATTTTTATTAGGAGCTTTAGTATTTGGTTTTACAACGTTTGTTAATTATAGAAACAAGTATATATGACTTCCAATCAATGTTCCAGAAGTTTACTCTAATATCTGATATCCGAAGTAATCAAATTAATAAATTATATTTTTTGTAGTAAGAAGCTGCATTTGAAAAGGCAAAATGATATGATATGAAAAACTTTCAGGTAAATATATTCGCTGCGTTATTTCCGAAATACTTCTCTGAACGCAATATGAATTTCAAAACTTATAAATTAAAAATATTCAGTTTCCTGCTTTCTTTATTACATCTAATTCGATTACGTAGTTGCTATAAATTTATCGGCCTCTGAAAAATGCCTTTTAACTAAATCTCACATATATAATTTTTTCTATTTTCTTTTTTCTTTCTTTTTCTTTTCTTTTTTTTTAATGCTCTAAAAGAATATCATAAAAAATGTTATTTAATAATTTAACAGCATAAGTAAAAATTTGCTGCAAGACCAGAAATATAGAATGACCAAATTAATAAGGCGTTATTTAAAAACAGTATTTCGAGTTCTGTTTCACACTAAAAAAAAAAAAAAAAAAAAAAAAAAAAAAAACGCATACCTTCACCAAGCATTAAAATATTAATCATGTTCTCAACATATTACTATTTTATTGACAGAAACTGCTTTTTTATTGAGAAAAACATTATTTAAACACCAATCGTTAAATTAGGATTTAGAATTAAAAATTAACTTCTTTTCATATTCAGATCGGAATTTTTAAACAAATTTATTTCACGCATCTTATGCTAAGTCCGCATCTGAGTTTTTTTTAACAAGGTATGAGCTTGAATTTAATGGAAATATAATGAAAAAAAAACTATAGGTACATTGCACGTTGTCCAAAAGTTCCTATGAGCAAAAATTTATTATTAATTTATTCATTGTATTCAGTTTTCTATCTTACATTTCACCTCAAAATTCTAACTTCTATATTATACAGGGCACGTGAGGATAATGGCTGGATTACTATGTTAGAGAGTGAATAACAAGAACAATTACCCCTTTGCTTATTCCCGAATGATACGTGCTGTCATGGCTACGGTTAAATTAGCGAATGGATACGCTTTTATCTCCAAACTCATAAAATATATTTGGAGGGGGGGGGAATTCAGGAATAAAAATAAGTTTCATGTGGGTTCCTCGAAAGAAAAAAAAACCTTATTCATCTAAGGGCTCCCTGAGTCCGCAAAGTTTGAAGACTACTAATATACTCCACTACTGCCTTCTTCTCCTTAACAAATTTAGTCACTAAAGAACAGAATGAATACCAAGCCTATAGGTGGTAATAAACTACTACTAGTGAATATTCATTAATCAATTTGCAACAAGCTCATGAGAACTTTAGTTAACCGTCCGAAAGGTCTGTGCGCAATAAAAATTCTATGCTGTTAACGACCACATTTAGCTCTAAACACCCTACAACAGTTAAAGTCGAAAATATGCTAGCGTTGTGCATTCTATTTTGTCTCTAAACTTTTAGTTTAAATATATACTGCATAGAAAACTTTTAAGTTTTTTCAAGTTCTCTGCTCTTTAACAAACTGTACTGTTAAATAAATCTTTTAATCTGTTTTAATTTTTGTATATTTTGGAAATTCCGCATACTACTTTTCCATGTAGGATGACCTTGCGCACTCTCAAGTTCTAAGGTTCGAAGCAAAAGTTTAAAGCCTTTCATATCTTTATTAGATTAGATTAAGAGAAAGAGTGCATTCCTGGAGAACTCTTTAAAGGAAACTGGTTCTGACCCCGGAGCTCCCTTGTAATAGGGATATGAACCTAGGAAGAACTACCAACGTTGAGTAGTCTCATCCACTCGACCGCTAGTAGGCTCTCTTCGGATCTCTGAAAAAATCCGAGATGGAATGTTGGTGCCAGCCGGAAACGATGTTAGGACATCTGGTATCAGTCTACTATATGTAATAGGCCAGTGGTCTCAAATTCAAATTACATTGGGCCGAATGCATGACCTGAAAACAGCTGATAGACCAGAATTGTTTTCCCCAACAAAATGAAAATTATTTAGTAACAGAATAAATACTATTTTACTTAAACTTTCAATTTGGCTTACTAACTCTTTATTAAAGCTCATCAGTAATTACGTAAGCGCAAAATATTCAACTATATTTTACTCAAAAATCTAGTTTGGTACCTGCAAGACATTTTTGCTGGTCACACTCTATGGCTCAAAGATACTGAGAGCTAAATATTAAATTTTCAGACTGGAATTTACTTCAAGTAATTTTTATATGTTTAATTAATCATTGAATAAGTTACTCAAATTAAACAAAAAAATTGATAGTGGTTAGCAACGCTGACTGCCGTACCGAAGGGCCCGGGTTAGAATCCCGGAGAAAGAATTGATGTTTGTAAATGTATAGTGTCTGTGCGGCAGGGGGCACTCTAAATATACGGCGAGCCTAGAATACTTTCAAGAGGTTGGTGATAGGGGAACAGGATTGGAAGACCTTCGGACCCGTTCCTCCGAGTGCTCTCCATCAAAATTGGGGGCAGAACTGAGCTGAACTGAGTCGTACAGTCACCTGTATGGTGCTCAAGGCTCTTGCCAACGACAAGCGCAATCTTTTATTCCTGTCATGATAAATTTCGTGGGCTTGTTCTGATGTTGTTGTCAAACAAGAGAGATAAGTCACAACAACAACAAAATAAGCAAATTATGGAAAAGTTAAAAATAAGCAAATTATGGAAAAGTTAAAAATAAGCAAATTATGGAAACTTCCATGGAAGACAAAACTTGAGAATAAATAATGTCAGTGTAGTCTCTTTGTCTTATTTATTAAATTTTTTTTCGACGTATAAATAAAAATATATACGTTTTATGTAAATAACTTAACTTCTGTATTTCTCATACTTAATGGATTCTCATAAATTTTGTAGCTTTGGAGAAAGATTACAAGAAATTATCACACAATGCAGATGCTCTTTGGTCAACTGGGCTTTTTCTCACTAATTTTCAACTGTGACAAAAATGTAAGTGTATTCCGCAACAAAGTAATTATTCATAACTGAATGTAATATTAATTTTTTTAACAAAAACGAATAAAAGTTAATGAAATCGGAATCTTCAAATTTTTGAATAAGATTAATATTACAACGTAAATGATTAAATCCATTTATTGATTTTCTAGAGAGTTAGCCATGTAAATTTTTTAACTCCATTTGTAGATGTTTTAGCGTGTTATTCACGTAAATAATTTAACTCCGTTTATAGATTTTCTAGTGCATTGTTCACATTCGTTTAGCCAGATAATGAAAATACTGCAAACTCGAACTTTAAATAACTAAAATCTTGAAATCGGTTTTGCTGCAAATGACTAATTGAAATGCATTCCGTTGGCCGCATAAAATTGCTTTGGGTGGCGCCAGCTTGACTCCACTGTAGTAGGCAACATATTTCTACCAGGAAAGCGTTTTTAACATGGAACATTTTTAACATCAATGGAACAACTGCCTTATGCAAATTTCATCTTCTCCAAAAATAAGAGTAAATCTATGACTATGTAACTTTCGACAAGAAACATAGTGGTAATATTCAGATAATAAATTTTGCCATAAGTTTAAATACTACAAACATACATGATTTCTTCTATCTCCGATGTGTCACACTAAAGTTATTGAAGCGAAATACTTAATATAAAGCATCCAACTCGAAAACTAAAGAATATATGTAATTTACTGATCATTTCTAATGGAAGCTAGAAGTTGAATAATTCCACAGCAACGTTCAAAATTCATAAATATTAGATCTATATAAGTAACGCGTTAATCCCCTATAAAATGTGTAGATTAATTCCAATAAAAAATTTAGTAAGTAATACCGGTACCGCTGGTAAGAAATACAAAATTTAGTAACACGTTACACAGAACATTACAATGCCATTGTTCAGAAATGAATTTCATGCTTTTTTAAAACGCGCGAGAAATCACAGAAAAGAATTCAAAAGTTGGACATATCGCCTTACATAATACACAACAGCAATACTTAAATTTTATCCGAATGAGCTTAAAATCCTACGGACATTAAGTAGACGCATTACCTAGACTTAGGAATCCCGAAGCTTTCTGAATCATTCACAACGAAGCTTTACAATTACAAAAGAGGACATGAAAAACCATAAAAGACAACCACGTAATCGTCTTATTACATACTTACACGAACAA